CGTTACCATTTAAGTATCAACCACTATCTCTGAACGTGTGGTCGTTAGGTAATTCTTGTCAAACACAAACTGACTACTTGTACAAGATTTGATTTCGACTGAAACAAAGTAACGAGCAATCTGGGCGACTTTTTAAAATTCTTTCTACTGTCTTAGTAAACAATGTTTTATGAAATTTATCACCTTAAATCTGTAATATTATTCTACCGGTTTAAGCCCATTGGGGTATATATTCACGCTTTATTTCTTCTTTTCAAGACTTGAAGGTCATTGTCAAAATAATTACAAGAATGAATAGACTATATCTGTTTTGTTTAGTTAGAAATTGGATTTAAATATATTGTTTAAATTTCATTTCATTTGAATTTTTTTTTCATTTAGAATATCGTTATATTGAAAATATTCCATCGGACAGCTGTCTCTGTTAATCAAGAAAACTTTGAGAAACTCACTTTTGATATACCGCGTACCTTTGATCTTACAGGTATGTACTTTTACCAAAGGAATAGTGGAAAAGTGAGCGTAACAAATGGGAGCTCGTCGCAGTTTTAAGCTCAACCGAGTCCTTTCTGTGGGCATCTCAAGTTAGGAAGACATTTACTATGCTTTGATTTGCGTATAACTAGTCTAATATCTGGATTTCAAAACTGTGGTCGCATGGATAATATTAACAACGTCATTGAAAAAGCAAATCAACCCAAAAACACAGAATTTTTTTTTTTTTTTAAAAAATATTCGAGATTAAAACTGGAAAGGGGGGGGGGGGCTGTTCGGTAACCGAGAGCCCTGACCAAAGGTTGGTAACTCTTCCTACTAAAGACGCATGTTATACAGTCTAAAATGGTTATATCTTACTTTTTAATTTTTTTCTCATTTAAGAACTTTAAAAGAGATTTTTAATAATTATCTACCATTCCACAAATATCAAACAAATTAAATGAGCACGAAGAATGTATAGGAATGCTGCAGTTCAAATAGGACCGACTTTTCCATTAACACACACACACATATATATAATATATTCACAAATTTCTAAACAATTTGCCGCCCCCCCCCCTCCCCGGCAAAGCGCCAAGTTTTTCTCTTATCATAAAACGTTTGGGAAAAGATTGATTCTTAATAGAGTTCAATTCTCAAAAATAAATCATACCTATTTCACGTAAAAACAGGTAATTTTGTCTTACCTCCAAACCCTTCTACAGAAGAATAACTGAATACACGTCTTTCTCTGTTTTCCATTGCGAGAAAGGCTGACCAAGATCAGACATATTAATATTTGATGGATATTAACACATAGTGTGACTCTCAAAGGAACTAGATTTCTGTTTTCTTCATCAATAAATCAACACACCACAAAAAGACGATAAATTCGATTATTATAATTATATAGTCTACGAGTGTATAAAAAGTTGAAATATAGATATTTTCTTAATCTAAAAATCTGAAATGTCATAATCTTTATTTGTAAAGAAAGTTTGAAATACTTACATATCTAGCAGTAAGGACCTCTTCTGTTCTCGTTTCACCACTAACGACTTATTCAAATGCTTGATCAGCATACACTTAATTACAGATTCCGTTCTTCTTCCAATATTGACCTTTCTCCTTCAGAAAATTTGAAAATCAGGAGAAACAACTTATTTGATTTTACGTAGTGAACTTAACTGAATATATAATATTCACCATCGTATTTGATTTGTAATTTGTAATGTTTAAATTTCATAAATGTATACCAGATTTTTTTCTTTATCGGGAATATAATCGTGTTTTTTAATGACCAGTGTGAATCGATGCCTCCCCTCCCCCTTCGCATGGCCCCTTTCTTCTCACCGACCATCTACACAAACAGAGGGGGTAATCTTCAGCACTATGTTGGGATAACTGAATATTAGTGTTTACTGAATGTAAACTTGAGCAGAATTAATTCATTTAAATAAGCCCCTCGTTTTTCACTTTTAATCAACATTCTAAAGAAATTTAATCTTATTATGTCAACAATAAAGCAATAACATATCAGGGATGGCTTTCCTTCACGTGCAATTATTTACTCTTCTGTCTCTTTAACAACTGAGATTGTCTATAGAAGTTTTAATCTCCTTACATAACAACCATGCTGAATTCTGTTACGCAATTTCACCTATATTTACACGTTTAGATATTAAATAAATTCAACTACCCCACCCCCATCTAAAAAAAAATCGCCAAAACTCCGCGAGGCTCTGTTCAAGTACTCACTTAATTTCTGACAAAGACCCCCCCCCCCCCCCCCATGTGACATCAAAATATTTTAAGCCCCTCTTCTTGTAACGTTGGGCTCTTGAGCCATAAAACTAAGGCGAGCCAACTTATGATCATAGTCTCGATTTTACCAATGGAATTAATCAATACAAACAAGAGATGTTCGTAAATCACTTATGCCCCCTCCCACAAACAAATTATTTTTTTAAGTCCAAAGGACATAACTCTGTCAACAAAAGGCCCATGGGCCACATCGCTCACCTGAGCACTGTGGCTAGGCAAAGTATAAATTGGTTCATTATTGAAAAGGTAAAATCCAAAATTAGTCCCATGAACAATCATGGATTTTCTATCTTTGAGAAGATGATTTTTAAAGAATTTTCCTATATATTTCTATGTAAAACTTCGGTTGGCCATTTTGGCCCCACCCTACCCCCGGGGGTCATGATTTGAATAAACTTGAATCTACACTACCTGAGGATGCTTCCATATAAATATGATGAATTATGGCTTGGTATGAGAAGAAGATTTTTAAAGAATTTTCTATATATTTCTATGTGAAAACTTGAGAAGAAAATCGGCCATTTTGGCCCCGCCCTACCCCCGGGGGTCATGATTTGATTAAACTTGAATCTACACTACCTGAGGATGCTTCCATATAAATATGATGAATTATGGCTTGGTCATTCTTGAGAAGAAGATTTTTAAAGAATTTTCCTATATATTTCTATGTAAAACTTTGGTCGGCCATTTTGGCCCCGCCCTACCCCCGGGGGTCATGATTTGAACAAACTTGAATCTACACTACCTGAGGATGCTACCATATAAATATGATGAATTCTGGCTTGGACATTCTCGAGAAGATTTTTAAAGAATTTTCCTATATATTTCTATGTAAAACTTCGGTCGGCCATATTGGCCCCGCCCTACCCCCGGGGGTCATGATTTGAACAAACTTGAATCTACACTACCAGAGGATGCTTCCATATAAATATGATGAATTATGGCTTGGTCATTCTTGAGAAGAAGATTTTTAAAGAATTTTCCTATATATTTCTATGTAAAACTTTGGTCGGCCATTTTGGCCCCGCCCTACCCCCGGGGGTCATGATTTGAACAAACTTGAATCTACACTACCTGAGGATGCTTCCATATAAATATGATGAATTATGGCTTGGTCATTCTTGAGAAGAAGATTTTTAAAGAATTTTCCTATATATTTCTATGTAAAACTTTGGTCAGCCCTTTTGGCCCCGCCCTACCCCGGGGGTCATGATTTGAACAAACTTGAATCTACACTACCTGAGGATGCTTCCATATAAATATGATGAATTATGGCTTGGTCATTCTCGAGAAGAAGATTTTTAAAGAATTTTCCTATATATTTCTATGTAAAACTTTGGTCGGCCATTTTGGCCCCGCCCTACCCCCGGGAGCCTTCGGCTCAGGTGAGCTAAAAATGACTCGATCATACTCAAGACAGAACTTGATCTATATATTTAATTTAATGATAAATCTGTATACTGAATTTCATTTCGGTATGTGCAAGCTCTGCAAAGAAAATGAACAGAAACTGCAAATAATGGAATTTTTCATAGTCCATGGGGGCACAACTATATCCAAAAAGGATCAATCGTTCCCCAAAACAGAATTGACCAATTATTCGCATGATAAATCTGTACACCAAATTTCATTTCAATAAGTGCAAACTCTGTAAAGAATATGAATGGAAACTGTAAATAATTGGAATTTTTCCAAGTCCATGGGGTTGTCCAAAATGGCTCGATTATACCCAAAACAAAACTTGACCTAGATATTACTAGTATTATGATAAATCTGTATACCAAATTTCATTTCAATACTAGTATGTGAAACCTCTGAGAAGAAAATGAACGGATACTAAGTGGACCGACAGCAGCAAAGCAATATGCCCTCCATTCTTCGAAAAAAAGGGGGGGGGGGTTTATAAAAAAATTACTTGCGATCAAAAGTGAGCTTATCTAGATTTTATGGCCCCTAAGCCAGAACATTTGAAGATTTGATAGTGTGTAAACCACTAATGACTTAGGCTGGTAGTTTGAACTTCAATTTAGAGAAATTTTAAGGTCATATCCAGCCTCTGAAGCATATCTCTGTAACAATGTGAATCCCTGAATGCATCATGTACACAGGTCTAGTCCAAGTGGGACTTATAATTACTTGGGAATGGACATGCTCCAAAACTACACCTTAGTATTTAGTCATCTACAAAATGTTCATCAGATCCATAATATGAAACAAATTAGGAATTGTGCATCCCTTGATGCATTGTTCATACAGGTTTCTCCCAAGTATAAGGCCAGGCAAAGTTAATTACTTGGTTCTCAGGCCTTTTTTCAAGAAGTATGATGAGGGAGGGAGGCATTTTTTTTCTTTTTTATTGCCCCCAAAACATGATATGGCAGCTTTTTACATTGTACAAACCTCAAAAAATGATGAGGGAGGTGATTTGGTGTTTAAATTTTAATGATTTAGCAATAGAAAGGGTCAATGAGGCACCCTTGGAAGAGATGAGGGAGGGCCTGAGAACCAAGAAATTCATTTTTTTTTTGCCTAACTTAAATATATATCATATGATAATCTCATATCAACTTTGTTCAGGTGAGCTAAGAATAGAATAATTCAATCAATCATTTTATCTAGCATTTAAGCTTTAATAATAAAGACAAACAAATAAATAAATGTACAGTGTAAACTCTAAATAAGAAGTCATCTATATGTATGTTTAATACTTAATTTTATCAGTTCCAGATAAAATAGATGTTCATTTTCTTGTTAAAGCATAAATAAACAAGATTAATGTAAATTCAGTCCTTTTTGTGACTATCCAATATGAAATATTTTTTATATATCTGTACAAGTATTTAAACCAAAACCATCTCGGCGTCATAGTGTGATAATTATTTACTATAAGCTAAAGTGCATGCAAATTATTTACATTTATTTAGCATATTCTGTGGGATAATATACTTAATAGCATCAACTCTTTAGGTGTATGATACCATGGAATAGTCTTGACATTACATTCAATCAATGACATTATCATCTCCGTCTACGTTTTCTGGACGCTGGTTCACTGAGTCTCTTCCTCTTCCTGTTCTCAAAGTCTCCCAAAATCTCCCTACAGAACAAAAAGCTTACCTATATATATGTCTATAGTGTAGTTATTAACCTTAATGATACAGTAATTTACTACAGGTGAGCAAACTTTATACTACTGTAAATTCCTTATTTTTCGCGAGTGCTTTTTTCCGCGAACTGGCTCTTTAATGTCAAAACGCGAGAATTATAATTCGCGAATGGACAGTTGATCAACAGAATTTTAGATTTTAGCACCATAAAAATAACAAGAGGCCCATGGGCCTTATAGGTCACCTGAGCATTATGCAACAACTTTCCAGTGATTGAATTTGATTCATGTTTTTAAGCCAGATGCTATGGCATTCACAATTTTGAAAGAGGCACCATTGATCATCATAACAATATACCTAGCAGTTGCTTAGTTTGTTTACTTAATACCCATATGCAGGGTAGGGGAACAAAAAATGCATTTCAACTAATCAGTAATATTCAGCAATAATCAGTAGTGCCCCTATCACACATGAACCCCTGACCCTTAGGCCTTGATATTTGATTAATACCAAGGAGCAGATTTCAAACCATTCATTCATTTTCAGTATATAAGTACAGCCCCCCCTCTATGGTACCCCTGACCCTGGGGCCTTGAAATTCACAGTTCTGGAAGATTAGGGCCCTTGTCCATCATAACTATATAGGTAGTTCATCTGCTTAATACCCTGGAGCAGAGAAGAAAATTTTCTCAGATTTAATGTATGTTCACTATATAATCTATAGAGCCCCGCCCTAACACCAGAACCCCTAAAATTCACAATTTTGGAAGAGGCATTCTTTGCTCATCATAACTATGCACTTAGTTTATTTAGTACCCAGGAGCAGAGAAGAAGATTTTCAAAGAATTCATGTATTTTCACTATATAATCTATAGAGCTCCGCCCTAGTTTGCTCAGGTGACCTAAAAATGAGTAATATTTTTCACGAACGGTGCTTCTCGCGAAATTACGTGGAAATTAATTCCTCCACGTATAATTAGGAATCTACAGTATGTAAAGACATTTGTGTGCCAAAGCTAGACACCAGATTCCAGCTTTTCATTTTCTTAACTTTTAACAGTACTATGAAAGAACACTTTGAAACTGTACATCTGCTTATATCTGCCACTGCCATCAGTGGTTCAAGCAGTGTAATGTGATTTATATCAGTCATCATGACCATCCAAAATGTAAGACACACACTGAATGAAGACACCTGGTACCAGGAACAATATTTAATCTTACCTTCTACTTGATGACCTTGAGCTTCTTCTTTCTTCTTGAATATCCTGTTTAAACAAAATTAAAAAAATACCTTAAAATACCTTGATTCTCTTTTAAAACACTGCCTGGAGATGAAGAATCTCAGATGAGGCATCTGCAATATAATTACACAAGAACTGTAACTTTATAATAAATATGAAATCTAGCAAACCTTGTCAACTTTGATGGGGGAGAATACAGCCGACAGATCACTACAGTTAGATTTATGGCTTTGGGTGGACATGGAAGAGAAATGGCGAGCTCTAGCCTTAGACACACCCTCTCCTCCACTTAATGCTGGCCACAGGGTGGAGAAACTCTCCACGTCATATTCCTTCACTGGAGTCTCATCCACTTGTAGACTTTCATCTTAAAAGAGCATTTTCTATTATTAAGTAAAGTTCTATGTATATGCATCCATTTTATATGAAATTTAAACTTTTTCATATTCTGAACAGTGTCAAACAAATTGCTTAAAAGTAAAGAAAATCATAGTATAACATGTAAGTCAAGACAAAGATATCAATGTGAATTATCTATCTGATAAAACTTTCCTACAAACAGCTACAAACAAAATGTAAAACCATACCCTCCTCTTGGTCTTCTATGACTTTTTCTCCCTCTTGGCAGTCCTGCTCCCCAGAAAGTAAAGATCCAGATTTTCCATTAGGAGACTTAGAAATCCCCAGATCTGTTCCATCCCTTTTGTTGTGGTCTACATTATCACAATGTCCAATCACCTCCTTTGAAGAATTCTTTGTGACCTTTGTATGACTCTTCTTTGACTTACTCCTCTGTTTCTTTCCACCTTTTTCCTTGCTTTCCTCATCCACTTTATCATCGCGCGAGAGAACTTCCACACCTCTGTCCTCCTCACTTTCCTCATCCATATTGTCGTCACACGAGATAATTTCCACACCTCCGTCCTCCTCTGATGAGCTACGACTTCCGTTGATCTCTGGGATCCTTATAGGGCTTCCGAGGAACTGTCTCTGTATCTTCTCTCTCTTCCCATCATCCTCTTCTTCCTCTGTCCAATCTAATTTCTCCAAGTCGACAGGGACATTAATGATCAAATCTGCAACGGGGCTGGTTCTATGTACTGATGCAATACAAACAAATTTACCTTCACCCTTACTCGCTTCCTTTACCAGTTTGTTTGATGAGGATGATGTAGTCTTGTATTTCCTTACTTCTGTACTACTTTTCTTAGCACCCATCGCAACATTTGCTGACGTATCTTCATTTTCAAATACAGCAGCTGAATTTTTTCTTTTATTCCTCTCAATGTTCAGCTCTTCATTTAGTCCCAGTTCCACATCACTTGTGTCAGAAGTTTCTTCCACTTCACCTTCATAAGAAGTTTTCTTGCTTTCTGATTGTTCAGAATGTGAATAAAGCTTACTGTAGTTTCTTTTGCTTCTCCTTTGGCTACTCTGTCTATCATATTTATTGTAACCAGCTTGGTTTTTGTTAGTTTTATCTACATTTGTCAGCTCGCAGACAGAATCACTCCTTAACCTCTCTGACACATTCTCCTTTGCTTTTAGTTTTGACTTGATCATGAGTTTGCTGATTTTGGGATACACAAGTTTCAGAATTTAAAGGCGTTTTGTTGGCATCTGCTCTCTTTCTGGTCCTCAGTGATTTCCTACGTCCACTATCAATGTCCATTTTATCATCTGTCAATACTTTTTCCATGCCACTTTCTGAAGTTTTTTCTTGAGTACTTCTGCTTCGTGTGCTTCTACGCTCAAGGAACAATGGTCTGTCATTTTCACTTTCAGTATCACTTTCCAAAGAA